GCCGCGCTGCCGCCGCTACTGCAAGTAAGCCTCGCCACGCAGCGCCCTAATGGAAGTGTTTCCTGCGCGACTGCGCCGCTGCGGCGCTGGACGCGGAACAACAGCATAGTAGCGGGGCAGGACAAGGAGGAGGACGGCGGCGGCGGCAGAGCTCAGCGAGCGAGGAGGGAGGACGAGGAGGACCCGGCATCAAGTCAAGGGGCACAGCAGCAGCGTGGGGTGGTGTGGGGCGCTCTAGTGTGGAGTGAGCGGGGCGGTCAGCACGAGGCGGCACCGAGCCTGGAGGACACGCGCACACACACACACATGCAGACACACACACACGCACCTACACACACACACACACGCGCGCGCACACACACACACAGAGCCACGGCCCTCACAGGAATATGAGCATGGAATAATAATAGGGGTTGTGGACTCGGCAAACAACAGGCGGGCGCTGCTGCGCTGCGCTGGAGGACTGAAGGGGGCGAGAGCGAGAGAGTGGACGGACACAGACTTTGGGCTTTGATTAATAAAAGCCACGCTTCCCGACGACGACGATGCTAACAATAACACGATTAGGGTTGCTGTATTGATCAGTCCCGATAAGAGCAGTGGCAGCAGCGGCAGCAGCAGGAAGAGGAGGAGGAGGAGGGGCAAGAGGAGCAGCAGCAGCCGTACAAAAAGTAAAGGGGCCATCATCGAATCAATGATTTCTCATTTGCATTATGCATCTCACGGACCGAGGGGCTCAACGCTCCGCCGCGCCCCGCCACCTCCGTCACATCAATCACGACACACACACACCGCGGGAAACAAGTTTCGCGCTACCGTTGCGGCGACCGAGAGAGAGAGAGAGAGAGAGAGAGAGAGAGAGAGAGAGAGAGAGAGAGAGAGGGGGGGGGGGGGAGAGGACGCTGTTAGGGCGGCGAGCACGGCACGCTCCTTTGTCAGCAAGTCTCTAGTGACGAGGCGAACTCGCTTCTGTCTCCGATATATACGCCCGCCGAGCGCGAATGCTGGGCTCGGGTGCTGCGAGAATTACTTGGGGATGTGCAAAAAAAATAAAAAATGCCTCAAATGGTATAAATACACTGCCCGCGCTTGGCAAATGTAGTGCGCCATCTCTCCATCATAATAATATGGCAAAAAAAAAATATATGGGACGATTGTGGCGCACAACAGCACAGCACAGCAATTACGAACGAGCGGTGTGTTTGGATGGCGTTATTGGAGAGAGGGGCGGTTAGGGCGGCGGCCCGCCTTTTGGAAATATAGAGGACGCCGGCGCCATAGTGCGGATTTGTGACCGATTTTACGAGCGAGAGACAGACGAATGGGATTACTCGGCCACATATCACCTGCTGTGCTGTGCGCCGTGGCGCGGGGGGGGGAGGCTGGGGGGGGGGGACGAGCGAACATACACAACACACACCGATAGCGCGCGCGGACCTAAATCTGTTGATGTACGGCGGATCATTAGGCCCTATGCATGCACCCCGCCCCGCCCCGCCACACCCGCGGTAATGTCCTCCCACACCCTCATCGCCGCCGCACAGCCGCAGCCGCCCCGCCCGTCTATGCGGCAATATACGGCCAACGCGGGTTGCGCGAAAAAAAAAGTTATGGCGCGCGCGGTCGCAGCGCACAACACGCTGTATGTCTGCGCGTGTGCGAGGAATGACCGTAAACCTTCCCGTTAATAAAACTCCAGCCGAGCAGCAGTGTGTGTGTGTGTGTGTGTGTGTGTGTGTGTGTGTGTGTGTGTGTGAGTGTGTGTGGTGCGTGCGCGCAGTGTCGATGGCGGCGGCCAGCGCGACCCGCGCGGCACACGACGGCGCATAACGGGCTCGGGGCCCGGCAGAACAGTGCAACAACGTCTCATTCTCTCTTCCTCCAGCTTATGCACTATCTGCGCCCGTCTCTATAGCTGTCTCTCTCTCGCGGCCCTCCCCGCATGCCCCCCCCCCCTTCCCCTCCTCCAAACCCTTTTCCTGCTCCGACTTGATAAATCCATGCCAAGCACGGGGTACAAATAATGGGCCC